AGTCATCACTATTTCTTGACTATTGTAAATAATGCTGTAATGAACATATAGATGCAAATATCCCTTCAAAGTGGTATTTTGGGTTTCTTCAGAAAAATACCCAGAAGTGGGATTACTGGGTCCTTCTCTGTCTCTTGTTATAGCCTTTGTTTAAAAGTGTATTTTGTCTGGTATAAGTATTGCTACCTCAGTTTTTCTTTTTTTTAATTTTCGTTTTCTTAAATATTTTTCTATCCCTTTATTTTCAGTCTATGTGTGTCTTTTGATTTGAAGTGTGTCCTTGTAGGCAGCATATGTAAGGGTCTTGTTTTATCTATTCAGCTACTCTGTCTTTTGATTGGAACATTTAATCCTTTTACATTTGAAGTAATCGTTATAGATATGTAGTTACTGCCATTTTATTTTTCACATTTTTGATCTTTTTCTTCTTTTTCTTCTTAAAGAAGTCTCTAACATTTCTTGTAACACTAGTTTGGTGTTGATGAATTCCTTTAGCTTTTTCTTACCTAGGAAACTCTTGATTCTAAATAGTAGCCTTGCTGGGAATAGTAATTTTAGTCATAAGTCCTTGCTTTTCATCACTTTGAATATTCTATGCCAATCCCTTCTGGCCTGTAAAATATCTGTTGAGAAATCAGCTGACAGTCTTATGGGAACTTCCTTATAGGTACTAACTGCTTTTCTCTTGCTGCTTTTAAGATTCCCTCTTTGTCTTTAACCTTTATCATTTTAATGATGATGTGTCTTGTGGTCGGCTTGTTTGAGTCCATCTTGTTTGGGCTCTCTGCACTTCCTGGGCTTATATGTCTATTTCCTTTGCCAGGTTAGGGAAGTTTTCTGTCATTACTTCTTCAAATCAGTTTTCAATTCCTTGCTCTCTCTCTTCTCCTTCTGGTAACCCTATATTGCAAATGTTGATATGCTTGTTATTGTTCCAGAGGCCCCTTATACTATCCTCATTTTTTGAATTCTTTTTTCTTATTGCTGTTCTGATTTGGTGTTTTTTGCTACTTTATATTCTAAATCACTGATTTGATCCTCTGCTTCATCTAATCTACTATTGATTCCCTCTAATATATTCTTCATTTCTGACTGATCCTCTTTTATGTCTTCTATCTCCATTTTTATGTTTTCTATCTCTTTATTAAAGTTCTCATTGAGTTCATCTACTCTCTCTCTAAGTTCATTGAGCATCCATATAACCAGTGTTTTGAACTCTACATCTGGTAGTTTGTCTTCATTTTGTTTTCTTTTTTTTTTGAGCATTGTTCCATTCTTTCACTTGGGACATATTTCTTTGTCTCTCCATTTTGGCTGCCTCCATGTGTTTGTTTCTATGTATTAGGTAGGACTCCTAAGTCTCCCAGTATTAGTAGAATGGCCTTATGTAGTAGATGCCCTGTGGGGCCCAGTAGTGCAGTCTTCCTTGGTCACCTGAGCTGGGTGCTCCAGGTTCGTTCCTTGTATGGGTTGTATGTATCCTCCTGTTGTAGTTGAGCCTTTGTTGCTGTTCGCATGTCAATGGGAGGAATTGAACATCAGGGTGATTGGTTGTGAGGACTGGCCCATGAGGGGCTGATCCTATGGATCAGGATTTACTTTAGCAGGGCCTGCCCAGTCTGCCCTTTAGGTGCGTCATCCTCAGATGCAGCCCTGAATGGTGCTCCAGCTCAGGTTGAAGCAGGCCACTGGGCATGCTGGCCCCAGGGCTTCCTGGGAGGGGCCCTGCTGTAGGCCAATTTTATCTGCAGCCTGTGCACTGCCCGGTTCCACCAGCAAGAGTCACCAAGCAATCCTCAGGTGGCCGCCACCCATGCTGGGCTTATAGGTGCTGTGAGAAGCCAAAATGTGAACCAAAGCCATCTGCTGCTAGTGCTGGGCTTGGAACTCATCAGCAAGAGGTATGGGGCATGCTGACTCCAGATGCTGCTTGTTTAGGTCTTGTGAACCTTTGAAAGGTTTTAGGAAAGTCTGCAGCATGAGCCAAGATAGGCCGTATGTATGGAAAAGCTACTGGAGGTGGCTTGGGTAGGCCTGCAAGTTGGGTGGGACAGAGTCTCAGGGAATCACCTGGAAAGGGCAACTTGTGTTAGCCAGGTTGATGGAGACTTAGATATGGTGGTGTCTGCATCTGCAGGTTGAGAGGAAGGAGGGGTCAAAAAAGAAACAATGGATTCTGCCAGTACGTCTGTCTGGGGAAAGCTGCCCCTCCAGCCTTCACCCTGAAGCCAGACAATTCAATTCCTTCCTTATGTTCATGGCACTTTTTGAGCAGCTGGCCCAGTGCTGGAGCTCAGAGTGAGTGAATCTGTCAATAATTTTGTGCAAGCCCTTTAAGAGGAATGTCTGTGACTCCCTCGGCTATAAATTCCACTGGTTGTCATAGCCAGAAGTTGTAGGGACTTCTCTTCTTGTTACTGGAACTTTGGGTTCTGGGACTTCTTGCTCCTCTGAGGAGACCTCCACAGCAAAGATATCCCTCCCGATTCTCAACAACTATATGCTGCTGTGGGACCAGCCCATTTCATGTCTTCACCCCTCCTACTAGTCTCGAGGTGGCCTCCTCTAGATGTGCCAGGCTTTAGGACTTCTGTTCAGTCAGACCTCAGGAGACTCCCAGTAATACTAAGAGTTGGTACTAAGTAAACATCACTTTCTGTATCTTTGCAAATATAATTGATTGAGTAAATGCATGTAACATATAGATAGTCATGCATTTGTCCTATTTTAAGAATATCCTAATGTTGTAGATCTTATAAAAGATATAGACAATCCAGGGAAATAAGATATAAACACATGCTACAGTCAAAAAGAAAGGCTGTGTATGATTAAGGCTGTGTATAATTAAGTTTAAAACATCACCTCTCACTTCTTGTGTTTTAGAAATCATTGTCTAGAATTTCTATTAATGCATGATCTAAATTTAAGTTGTCAAATCAATATTTGATGTACCATTCCATAGAGTCTTCAGATCTTATAGAGAAAGTTATTTCAGATAAAAGGAATTCACATGTGGTTTGGAGTGGTAGGGATTCATAATTCTATCTGGGTAGCCCATGTGTCTTAATTGTGAGATATAACAGGTCAAGATTTAAATTTGAAACTTTCTATTCATCCCCTCTCTTTTTTTCACTCTGCTCACAAACAAGCTGTGATGAAATACAGTAGGTCTGCTCTGAAGTGCTCTGGCTTCCATTACAATGATACATCTATTCTTTGTTCACCAGAAACGCACAAAAGATGCTCTAAAATTCCAAGAACAAATCACTAAGTTAACCAGAAAACAGGATGCCAATGTTAAGGACCACCTCTTATGTTTATGTTGTTCAAAGTTAGGGTGCTATAGAAGGTTCACACATATGTGCGTGCACACACTCACAATATAAGAGTTCAGTTCAAAAAAGGAGTATGAATGTAGATTTCGAGATTTGTTGGAAGAATTAAATATTCACTATCTGAAAGGAAACACCACACTGTATTTATTTTTCTATTATAAACCTAGTGTTTTAGAAAGCTTTCTTTAGTTTCTTAAGTATTGTTGGGTTCATAAAGGAAATTTACTTTCAGAAAACAAAGTCCCTGTTTTTTATCTGGAATGAGTAATGAAAATCTTGTTGCTTAGCTGTTCAAGGAAAAGACTATTTATCCTGTGAGTTGTAAATAAGCCCATGCACTAAGCTACTACATTTAAGGGTTTTGGCAAATTTCGGTGTACAGCCTCCAGGATATTAAGCTCTCTTTAGAGCAGTTTGAATCCTACCTTTTGAGTTCACTTTGTTTGTAACATATTTGTGGGTCAAGCTCTTTTGCTCAGAGACTGACAGAGAATTTATAAAGCATAAATTACAAAATGACTTGAAGGTGCTCCTCATGGAACAACTTAGTTGCTCCTTTGTCTTTTTTCTTTATTTTACCTCAAAAAGTATTCTTTTTAATTTTTATTTTGAAATTGATCTGTTTTCTCCCATTTTTTATGCTTTTATTCTTTTACTGTAAATGACTGATATAAAAAGACCTGATTTTGAAAAAAAAAAAGAGGCTATGGAAAAATAGAATTCCATATCACTAAAAACTACACCACCCTTTCCCTTTGCTTTTCTTTTTTCCTCTCTTCATTTAAAGCCCCCTCCACCCTGAATGGATTTTTCTGCACATCGTGACTTACATCTGATTCCTGGCCGGGTTTGAGGTTTGAATTTTCTGATAGACTTAATTTAGAATCACTTAAAAAAATAAACTTTTATTTTACAACAACTTTAGATTTATAGAATCTTTGCAAAGATAATACTGGGGGTTCTCAAATACCCTATACCCAATTTCCTCTATAATCAACATCTTACGTTAGTATAGTACATTTGTTATACTTAATGAACCAATATTGATATATTGTTATTTACTAAAGTCCATATTTTATTTATATTTCTTCGGTTTTCCCCTAATGTCTTTTTTGTTTGTTTGCTTTAGGATCCTATCCAGACTGCCACATTACATTTAGTTGTCATGTGTTCTTAGGCTCCTCTCGGATATGACAGTTTTTCAGATTTTCCTTGTTTTCAATAACTTTGATAGTTTTAAAGATTACTGGCCATGAGTTTTGTAGAGTGTCTCTCAGTTGTGATTTGTCTAATTTTTTTTTCATTATTAGACTTGGGTAATGTTTTAGGGGAAGAAGACCACAAAGATAAAGTGCTATTCTTATCACATCCTACCAACGTACATACCATCGGCATGACTTAGCACTGTTGATGTTGACTTTGATCATTTGGCTTGAGATGTTTGTCAGGTTAGAATCACATTTTCTCTCTTTCTTGAAGATCATCCAAGCATTTGCCTGAAGATTTTACTACACATTTATTAAAGCTTTAAGGAAGCTAAGTGAGGCTGATCTTTTGGTTTTTCTTTATTGGTGATGTTGTAAAGCTGCTATAAGTTTCTAAGTAGTTAGACAAAAATAATTTCAGCGGTGGTAAATACATCTAAACTTTTTTCATGTGTTATAGGTGGGAATGAGATCCCGAAACCAGGGTGGTGAAAGTTCATCCAATGGGCATATCTCCTGCCCCCAATCCTCCATCATCAGCAATGCTGGTGATAAAAGTCTCTCAGAAGATGCAAAAAAGAAGAACAAATCAAATAGAAAGGAGGATGATGTCATGGCCTCAGGAACTGTCAAACGACACCTAAAACCATCTGGAGAAAGTGAACGAAAGAATAAAAAATCCTTGGAGTTATCCAAAGAAGACCTCATCCAGCTACTCAGTATAATGGAAGGGGAGTTACAGGTAGAGTATAATTTTCTCAACTATTGTGCCTCGATTTCCTAAGCTATAAAATAAGAGACTATGAACCTATCTTTCTCATTGGATTGTGAACTACATGGGGAAAAGGGCTATGTTTTTCTTATTCATTTCTAAATGCCTGACACCAGTTTTTACTGAATACATATTTGCTGAATTAATGAATAAATGAATGTATGCTGATTCCAACTTCAAGCTTCTCTAGAAGCAGAAAATTTCTTTATGATATGATTTTGGTAATAATCTAACACAGGCACCTGTACTTAGTAGTAAGTAATCAATGAGCTTATCTAATTTAGCCTTTGACTATGGTAGAAAATCATGATTATTAAAAGGCAAAGTTAAGCTCAAGTGTTACTTTTGATTTTTTCCAGAAAGTAGAGTAAAAGAGAGATAAAGAGATAAAGGGAGAGAAGGAGAAAGTGAGAGAAAGAGAAAGAGGGTTTTGTTTAAACCAGCCTTACACTTTTCTCATTTTTTCATAACTTTCATCTTTAATTTTCTATGTCATAGGAGTTGAGAAGCACTGAAATAAGCAGAACATTGTATTATGAAGACCTAATACTTTCACAGTGTGTTTCAAGTCTATTATCTCATTCAATCTCAATAAAAAAAGTAGGCATTATTATCTATATCTTATAATGAGGAAACTGAGGCCCAGAATGGTTAAGGATTTGTCCAATTCTCATCTTAGGCCTCCTAATTTTTGTTCTAGTGCTCTTTCCACAGTCCATCCTCCTTAACCTTCTGTAGCTACCTGAGCTAGGTCCCTTATTTAGTGTGTTTTTAAGGATTCAAGAAGGAATTGGGGTTCTTCTGATTTCCTGAGCTCTAGACAATTATATTTCTGGAAGTGGGGAAACAATAACTTCTTTTTTTGGTGGTGGTGGTAGGAGGAGAAGATGACTTGAGTAGAGTTGCTGTTTTCCTTTTCGTTTTTGTTAGGTTCTTAATTTGCATGAGCCTCTTAGGGGAATCTAATGATTGTGTGAGATGAATCCTTTGTTTGATGCTGTTAACTTCAGAGAGATTATTTGCAACCTGCCCTAAACTAGGGTGGGATAGCCTGATCTGTTCCTGTTCTCATCTGTATGAGCACACAGATAAGTAAACCCCTGGGGTAAAGAGAAATTGAAAACATAACAAAACTCACATTTTAAAAAAACAAACAAAAATGATTGAGCCTATCATGTGCTGGTGGATAAAAATCACATTTGCATTTCATAGCAAAAGAAGAAAATTTCCATAGTGCCACCATTACTGAAAATAGCTTCACCACTCCCAGAAATAGGCTAATGTTTTGTCTATTGACATTTACTGTGTTAGAAGGCAGACTATATTAGACCAACTTTTTAAGCTACCCCCAGCTGATAGTATTGACCTGAGTGGAAGGTACAAGGGTTACCTGAGAAATCTTCACAAAACAATATTATCAGTTCACTTCTCTCCAGGCATGGTGGCCTGTGCAAAGCCTGTGGTTCTTCTAGACTCTAATTTCTGTAGAAGGCTGTTATATCATGATGGATTCTGGAAAGCACTTAAGATTCATGTGGCTTTTATGTTCATGGTTTTGCCAGATATAGTTCCAGAACCTAAGCATTCACAATATAAGCCTACACACCCAGGACATCAATGAAATTACCCAGGAGACTCCAAAGAAATACATTTTGCTTTTCACTAATCTTAATGAATATAGGATACCTTACCGTACACAATAGTTGTATTTCTGAGTAGCAATAAATAAGTAAAAAGTTTAAGATATTTGTGGGGGAGGCAATGAAGGAAAAGAGAAATGGAAGACCTGATATTGTAAGAAATCCTATAGTAAATTCATTTGCAAAGCAAATAATTCATCTCCCGTATAGTTATATGCATACACACATATATATAAGTATATATATTTGCAATTGCAGATTTTGTAATACTAGATTTGTTAAAAATGAAAGTGTTCCTATATTTAGAGTTGTAGATATATGTTCTTTTAACAGATAATTGTCTTTTATTAGCATTGTCACATGAGGGGGCATGTGTGTTGTAGCTAAGAGTGGGAGGCAGTGGGCATTAACAAACATGAATGGACTGGTAAAAATGCAGCAGCTATATGCCAGGTGTGCCAGACTAGAGATAAGAAAAAAAGTATCTAAAGGTCTGGTATTGAGAGGAGAGGCCGGGATATGCCTCATGAGATAAGTTACCATCAGCTCAGGCCTTTATGCCATTTACTTTCTTTATACTATATATGTGACAAACTTGGACAAGTTATATGACATGCCAAGGTTGTGCATTAATTTAGTTACATTTGCTCTAGGCCCAAATTCCCTGTGTCTCAGTTCAACGTCTCTCCAACTATGTCATTTGCACTCTGGGGATATTCAAGGGCTGGCTCCAGAACCTTTATATTTACTCCTTGTCTCCACAATTTCTTTTATGTAGACTTACATTGTGAACTTTGGGGCCAAAGCCATTTTGTAAAATGATGAAACTTTTTTAGGTACGAGAAATTGAGGTAAAAGAAATATTTCACATCAAAGAAGTGGAATATGATCTAAACCATGAAGTTTGATGTGCTCTGTATAGTGAGAAAAATGAGGGAAGGCAGCAGTACCACATGGACACAGGCTGGACACTACACAACTCTGAGAAGCTTCATATTCACTACTCTATGAGTGTTGTGTCCTGAAGTTGTGCAACAGCTTAGCCTTGGGGCGACTGGAACTACTAGTCAAAAGAAGTAGGGTGACACACAGAGAAAAGGGGCCTATAAAAGTGGGGAGAAAAGACCAAGATCAGGTCTGCCTGTAGGAGATCTACCCTGGAAGTGACTTAGGGAGAAGGAGGATACAGAGGCTCACTCAGACTTTTTATACTTCTTTTCTCTTTCTCAGACTCCTTGTTGATATTTCTCATTCTCTCCAACTCTGTATCCAGGGTTTGGACATTAGAGACAGTTTGTGTGTTTTCTGATACTAGCACCTGCCACCTTTAGAATCTGTTGTGTGATCTACGGAAATTTGTTGAACCAACATCATAAACAGCATGACCTTTATTGTTAGCATTGGCTCTTTGCAAAATTTGCAGACTTACCGTTTTGTTTGCCAGTCCAGGTATAAAGTAAATTCTTGATGTGCTCCTTTAATGGACACGTATTACAAATGGAGTTGCCCTTCCCAGGGATATTTGCGTTTTAAGGAGTCTTGTCTAGAACTGGTGATGTCATGACCATTGTCTTGGAGAGAGACATCTTCCAGATTTTTCAAGCCACATCTTAGCAAATGCAAGCCTGTCATCTCAGTTCAATGACTGGCTGACACTGCCTGCATAAAAGTAGCAAGGCTGGTTTTCATTATTACATTTCTGTCATTGACTGGTTCCAAAAACAAGTACTTTCTAATAATATGGAACATTTTTTTTCGGGTGAAAAACTGGTTACATGTTTCCCAGACTAAACTAAATATAATGAAATAGTACACCCAGACCATCATTTGGGCACCATGATTAATTTCCCCCTATATTTGTCCAAAAATAGCACTTTAAAGAAGTCGTTCAATTTGGCTGTATTTAAAATGACTAAAGTTCAAAGGAAATGGTCCTCACATCAAAAAGTCATAAGACCGAAAACTTAGCAGAAGTTTCATTCTTAGGGCATTAATTAATTAATTATTTCTAAATTGATTGATCTTACAATATTTAAGAAACTTTGCTGTGCCAGAGTTCCAAAGGATGCAAAGATGAATAATAATATTACTCGTAGCTAAAATTTGATGAGCTCCTACTATATGCCAAGTATAGTTTTAGGCAGTAGGTATTACAGTAGTCATGAAGAAGGAGTTTATGACCTGATAGGATAGATGGGAATATATAGGAATGAATATTTTATAGGATAATTGCAATGCAAATTATTGGGGTACAAAGGAAGGAAAGATTATGAAAATCTCAAGAGATGAGTGAACGCTTCATTGAAGAATTGGACATTAAAGAATTGACAAGTTTTGGACAGGTTGAGATAAGTGTAGCAAACGATATGAGCAGAATCAAACACAAAGTGTGTGGGAAAGTATGGAACAGTTTATCAGTGAGTAGTAGTCTTGCTTCAGTGGAGAATTATTTGGAAGAAGTAAAACTATACCTTCTTTTGGAGACTACAACTAAGACATCTAAAAAACAACATTTAGAAGGTGTGATGATCTCAGGGGAGTGGAGTGATGCAGAAACCAAAGGAGTCAAGATCATCAAGAAGAGAGAGATTGCATCAGTCAAAATTTCAGTAGAAAGTTTCAGTCAGATCTGACTGAGGGGTGCTCTTTGGATTTGTGAAACTTAAGGTCATTGGCAACACTTGCCAGAACAATTTCAGTGAGTTTAAGCCTGTTTTTAGTGGTTTGAGAAGTGAAGTTAAAGAAAGAGAGTAACAAGTTCTGTTGAAACTCCAGGAAATTAGAAAAGAAATTTTTTGGTAAGAATTACTGAGATTTTCTGATTTTTTGGGGGTGGGGGGAACATAACCAAAGAAGCCAAATTTCCCTTTTCTTTAGCATAGCAATAAATTATTTGTCTGGCACAGAGAATGCCCTTAGTGCTCATTTGTTGACCCCTTGCTTTGAAATTACAATGTTGCTTTTCTCTACTTCGGGCTTTAAGTGAAATATGGAATTATTCAAAAGTAAAAGGCTAAAACAATGTATCTTGAATGCCAAGTCCTATGTGGAAGTGGTGTAGGACTGAAAAAATTTGGTAGTTGACCTTATTAGTGCTGACTTTGAGCCTTAGTTTAATCTCTGTCTGTATAATAATGGGTTGTTGTGATTGCTATACTTAGCCAATAGAGATGTTGTTTGGAGAATTTTGGTTGAGAGGGGAGGAGAAAGATAAGATAGTAGCTAGAGGGAAAATCAGGTCAAGGAAGGGTTTTTAATGATGAAAGTGGCTTTACTATGTTAATAGGTTAAGGGGTTATAGGATGAGAAAGGAGCAGGGTCGTATAGGAA